GGCTTTTTAAAAAGGGCGGGGTGGTCCTTCGCGGCCGCTACTTGCGACCAGGTAATCTACAGCGCTACGATAAAACGGTGTCGTTTTGAATATTTTTTTTCATAGGACTTGATAATAATTGCTTCTAGATCCATGTATTTTCCTTCTGCCAGCCAACCAGCACAAGTGATTATGGGTTAAGGAGAATGGTGGGTAAAATGGGAAATTGGGTATGTAAAGGGAAGGGGGATAAGGTTATGATTAGGGTTGTCATGATAATGGTATCTGTGGACCATCATATTTTTTTTTCAAACGGTCGCATTCACTTGACCAGGTTGCCTAATTTTGACAAATCCACCTTGACCTTAATCTTTTTTGGGTCACGCTAATTGGAGTGTTGGACTAGGTTTCTAATTCAACTAATACCAAAACATTGGAGATTAAACTACGAGTGGTGCAAGGGTTTAAGCATAGTTTAGTTGTCTAATGTTTGAAAATATCCAAATTTAACTTATCCTTTTCTCATTAATTTTAATGAATAAAATATTTGTCTGCACGCACCGACTAAAGGTATTAATTTAACGGTATTTTTCTTTTTCTTATTAATCTTATTAATGAAATTTGTCTAGTTGCTCGTTAACTATATCTAACTATTGATTCACTCATGATTGCCTACTACGTATTTACACAACAATACACCAAATTAATGAAATTGGTTATATGCTTGAATTAGGCTCGGACTAAGTGGAGTAGCGTGGCTAATGAGGTGTAGGTCTAATGAAAAAGTCAAACATGAGAAGGATTGGATTGGAGTGGACTATGGGACCCAGAGTTGTGATTGCTGGTTTGGGGGTAAGGGGGGAGGTGGGGGCCAGGTAAAGGAGCGGCGGGACCTGGTTGCATGCCGGCGTGCGGTTGCGGTGGCCACAACACAGCGTGGGGATGTCTCAGGTAGCTGTTGCTACTGCTGTCACTTTTGTCTTTTGTCAGTGTGTGTGAATCTGATGCGTGAGTGTGAGTTTGTTTCTGTGTGTTGGTTGGTACTTGGCCTTTGCCGCACTCTCTCTCTCTCTCCTCTTCTTCTCATTTTGTTGTGTGAAACGGGATATTATTATTTTATTATCTTTAATTAATTATAATATATTAAGTAAAAAAATTATCACGCGTCCCATATTATAACTGACCGTAAATAATAAAACAGTGTTATTTCTGTTTCCCAGAAGTGGGTTGTTCTAATGTACTGTAGACTGACTGAGTATTTTCTTGTTGGTTTGATATCACGTGACTAATGCTGGCGCTGGTTATCTATTTTTTGCGTGAGTGGAGTGATGGATCCGATATAACTACTGATAATAAGAGACTGACATCATTGCCATCCATCCAGATGGTGAAGGCTTTTTGCTCGCAGAGAAGGGTGGGCTTTTGAGGTGGGGCCTATATGTATCTCCCTGCTATGCGCCACCTTCCAAATTAGCTTCTCATTGATGGAATTGGCAATGTGCCCTCCTCCTGCTCACCATCTCTGTCTTTTTGCCCTGTGCTCCCTTTTTTATACAATGGTTCATTTCCTCTTTCTTCGGTGTGGACCCCAGGTGGTTTCTGCCCACTTTGTAACTCAGGCGCGCTTCATAAACTCATAGATATTCAATACTTTATTGATACATAAATGCTTGCATTCACAATCTTACAAGTCTTGTCACACATTCCTCATATTGTGAGTCATAATGGTTTGATTGCAAATATTATATGCAATTTAACATTATAACATAACAACGCATTCCTCGCTTCATAACAAAACTTACAAAAGATGAGTTTAGTCTCAATTAATCAGTAGCATTCGTAGAGCTTTCATGCTCGATCATTAGCATTTGGCTTGTTGTGTGCTACTTATAGATGATATATTGTTAACGAGAAAAATACTGCATTGGGTTCGTAACTTCATAATATGTAGACTCTATATTTATTATTATATAGTGAGTTTTTAATTATTAAGCTTGAACCCCGTTGTAGTTGTGCATATTAAATAGTGAGGAAGACTTTGCAGGACTTCACAATTTAGTGTCTTATGTTGTTTATAGATTTGTGTATTATTGGAACTTATAGCATTACTCTTTATTTTATTGAGCTTGAAGTAGGGATGACAATTGATCGAGTTAGGGGTGGGTATGCCATTCTCATTCTCATCATTGTTAAGCTTTTTTCCCCTATCTCCGCCTTCATACCTGCAATATTCATATCGAGGATTCTTCATCCCCACCTTTGTTGTGGGTTCCCTGACCAGCCCCATTATGAAAGAAAAAATTAATATATAACTACTTTGTTGAAAGAAATAAAAATTTGAACCAAGCCAAGATAATGAGTATGTATAATATATACATACAAGACAATATAAGAATGTTTACATAGTAACTGGAAGTTAACTAAATATATAAGTAGTGTGGCTTAAGATTCGTATAAATTATATATACTACGATATATATATTCTAAACATGGAGGGTTCAGGTCGGGGATTAAAATACCATCCCCTTCCCTCCCCGAACATCATACTCAAAAAATTATTCATACCCGTCTCCATACCCATTTTTTAAATCTTTCATACCCAACCCATTAGGGTCAAAATTTTACGAAGACTCTTATCCACGGGAAAAATTATCATCCCTTACTTGAAGGGCACCATGTTTCAGTGAAATAACCAAATTTAGGATATTAGGATTTGATGTGATTTGTATGTTGCAATTTTAATAAATTGTAAGGTGAGACAAGCAAGCTTCAATGTTTTGGTAGCTTGCTCTTGGTTACAAATTACAATATCGCATAAGATAAGATATTATTAATGAAAGATTGTGAGCAGTGAGCCCCCCATATATTTAATAACACGACGGGTCGTCCATCGCCCCAAAATTCAACCAACTACACGTGCGCCGCGGACTCAACCAGCGTATCAAACCCGATTGGAGGGCGTGGCATTGGGTCCGCCACTGATTTGAATTTGATTATTTGGATTTATTTTTTTTCGTTTCTGTTTTTTTTAATTGACAAGTGTACAAGAGGAGGAGAGAGTTGCTTTTGTGTAATGCTGCTGCTGCCCCATGGTGCGTGGCACCGATTGTGGATTTGTGGGATATGATATGGTATGGTATAGTGGTGGTGGTGGTGGTGGGGACCACCGTCCTATATATAACGTTAATCATGTCCGTCCCATCGGTGGGCCCACGTGATGCCCGATATGCTCGCCACCCACGAGGCACCGGAGACACTGTTTCATTTCTTTAATTTCAGCTCTCCATAATCCTCTTTATTATTACTCAGTCTTTTGCTTTATGCTATGTATTCTATCTTGGATTTTACTAAGTTGAAAATTACAAAATTGTGAGTGATTTCTGATCGTTAATGAGATACAAGTTTTAAGTACATTAAAAAAAATTATATAAATTGATTTTTTTCGATTTGTTATTTTATTATATGACTATCAAATCTAGAATTAAACACGTACAAATTATGAAACATAAATTGTTCAAACATCCGAAATAACTTGGATATTGAGTGAAGAACATAAGAAGAAAACTAGGTGAAATGTTATATCTTCTGACGTACTCTATAGACCTAAATTTCTTTTTGATGTATTGAGAAAAGACGAGTTTTGCATTTGCATATTCCATATTTACTTTACATGGTCTTACATTTTAATATGTGCTCTGAATAACTAGCGAAAAAAGAAACAAGTATCAAAATTTTGTAATTAAGAACAAATTGTAAGGAATATGTAGCTCCGTTGATTAAGAACATTTAACTTTACGAGGTTCTTTCCTTTGCATCATTCCCTTCGCTTGTATATTGCCTTCTCAAAATGAGTGTAAGATATTATTCTGCCCGGGAAACTGGTGGTTACTTACTGTTCCATTGGCTCCTGCCTAATTTTCTTGGACGTTCTTAAGCCCAAGTCCTAACCATTAAGCTATAGGTGGGCTGGAATTTTGTCCAAGTCAAAACCCATTGCTGGGCCATATTTGATCCCTGGAGTGAAAGTAAAATGTAAAACATCATATAATCTTGAGAAATTTGTGTAAAGTAGTTAGATTTTATAGACATTATTTTATTTTTAGAATTTTAACCACTCTCCATAGGTTCCAAATCAATGAAGTTGAGCCTGCAGAACAAAAGAGAACTCTCAGAGGTGTCAAATCTGTATCCAACTAGGGTCACCCTTAGCTTTAAATTGTAATTGCTCCTAAATTAGGTATAATTAGGTGAATCGAGTAGTTCGATTATGCAAATCTTTGGATTAGCCATCGTCAATTTTGTATGCTTAAACTCCTGAAAGTCAAAGTGACCACTAATCCCCGTGCGATTAGAGAGGGACAAACTATACTTTAAAATGAAATCACAAAATTCTCTATGTTTTATAGGACACATCGTCAATTTTTCCCCATAAATACAAAAATATCACCTACCCTAAAGTCGCATTTAAATAAAAGTACACACATATTCATACTTATCCAACAAAACGTGTTGTGGCGTAACGCGATATCGTCAAACCACGTGTACGGTAGACGTTACAAGATGCTTACCTTTCCTTTAAAAATCCGCCTCCCTTGGTGCTTTTGATTAAACAAACACGGCCTTACGCATCTCCAATTGGTTGCAGATCCCTTGAATATGGCACCACCAAAGCATACACGTCACCGCACCTTACCCAGACATAAACGACAACAGAAACAATGTCGTCTCCAAGTCCAGTAGTCCATTTCAGCTCGAAGGCTAAAGCTAACCTAATCCGAATATTAGAAATAATTAAAAAGGGAAATAAAAAAAAAGAGCTAATGCCTTAGTTATTTATATTTTATTGTATTTTTTCTCTATGGAATAATATAAAATTCCGTGGGAAATAAAATTCTTTACGCGTTTCGAGAACCAGGATCCCAAAATATTCGAAAATTCAGAAGCGAAAACGAATCGTTTTGGGGTTTCGGGGTCGTCGACTCGTGACCTTTGCTTGCGAAGCCAATCAGCCGTCTCTTCTCTGCAACTTCTCTAGTTCCTGTCCCTTTCTATTCTTATCAATTCTTGTTGCTTTTGCTCCAAGCTTTCTGTTTCTCTCTCTCTTTTTTTCTTCTTTGGTTTTCAAAATTTCTGACTTTGAAATGGGAACTGAATTGTAGTCTGTGCAACTGTTGCAACGAGCAAACAACTCGTCAAAAATACGACTTTGTTTTCTTGAACTTCTCCAACTAAAAACAAATATGTAATTTTTTGGGGGTTTAATATTTGCGGTAACCGCCAATTGTTGTGTGTCTACGACTTCGATTATTACGGTAGGTTTGGGGCACACGCTTAGTTGAAATTATGACGGGATTTATGGTCAATTGCTTTCCATTTCCTTTGGGTTTTGACTGAACCCAGACTTCTGGCCATCAGCTAATTAATTACAGTTTTCCAGTCTTCCATTGGTTTATTTTTATTTTATTAATTTGGTTCAATTTCAAAACCCAAGGTGGAAAATCAATGGGTTTTCAATTGGGTTCCCCTAATTCCTTGGAAAGGTAAGGCCTTCACAGGTGGGAATTCAAAGGGTTTTCAAGCGGGATCTTGGGTTCCCTTAATTCCTTGCAAAGTTTCGGTTTTTGGGTTGAAAGAGTGGAAATTTGAGGTTTCTGGATTGAATTCTTGGTCCTGCATATACAGGAGAGCTTGAAGGAGTTAATTTGCCTGTGATTTTGGAGTTTTGAGAAGTGGTTGATGATTTAAGACTGGGTTTCAGATTTGGGTTGGTGATTTTGGGGGATTGATTAGGATGGATGAAGTTCAAGGTGGCGCCAGCTCGTTGCCGCCTTTCCTTTCCAAGACCTATGATATGGTGGATGATGCTTCAACCGATTCAATTGTGTCTTGGAGTGCCAGTAATAAGAGCTTTATTGTTTGGAACCCGCCGGAGTTTGCCAGAGATTTGCTGCCAAAGTTCTTCAAGCACAACAACTTCTCTAGCTTCATCAGGCAGCTCAATACATACGTAAGTCAATCAAGTTTCTACTTTCATTCAGCTTCAGTTTTTTTTACATTGGTATTTATCAATCTTTATAATTTTTTAGTTCCTGAATTTGATTTAAATGCTTACAATAGGGTTTTAGAAAAATTGATCCGGAACAATGGGAATTTGCCAATGACGATTTTATCAGAGGTCAGCCAAACCTTATGAAGAATATCCATAGACGAAAGCCGGTTCATAGTCACTCTTTGCAGAATCTCCAAGTCCAAGGGAATGGGACTTCCTTATCCGAATCTGAAAGGCAGAGTATGAAGGATGAAATCGAGAGGCTTAAACATGAGAAAGAACGCCTTGGTGTGGAGTTACAGCGGCTTGAGCAGGAGCGGCAGGGATTGGAGTTGCAAATGCAGTTCTTGAAGGAACGTTTGCAACACATGGAAAGGCAGCAGCAAACCATGACCAGTTTCGTGGCCCGGGTTTTGCAGAAACCGGGGATTGCCTCCAATCCTGTTCCGCAATTGGAAATCCATGGGCGAAAGAGAAGGTTGCCAAGAATCGGTTGGTCTTATGATGAAGCGAGCAATGGAAATAATCAGGTGGCAAGTTCACAAGCTGGTATTAGAGAAAATGCGGATATGGAAAAGTTGGAGCAGTTGGAGTCATTCCTAACATTTTGGGAAGATACCATTTTTGATGTTGGAGAGGCTCATATTCAGGTTGTTTCAAACGTGGAGTTGGATGAGTCTACAAGTTGTGTCGAAAGCGCAGCTATATCTTCAATACAACTTAATGTTGACGCTCAGCCTAAATCCCCGGGAATTGACATGAATTCTGAACCTGCTGTAGTCGTTGCTCCTGAGCCTGCTGCAGCTGTACCTCCTGAGCCTGCTTCCTCAAAACAACAATCCTCAAAAGAACAAACATCTGGAATCACTGCTTCCACGCCAACTGGCGTGAATGACGTATTCTGGGAACACTTCTTGACAGAGAATCCTGGTTCAGTGGAAGCTCAGGAAGTTCAGTTGGAAAAAAGGGATTCTGATGGTAGAAAGAACGAAAGCAAACCTGGTGATCATGGCAAGTTGTGGTGGAATATGAGGAATGTAAATAACCTTACAGAACAAATGGGGCATCTTACTCCAGTAGAGAAAACGTGATACTAGTTATTTTATTTGGGATTTTGATGCCCAGTGGCTCACATGTTTTATGCTCATAGGCATAAATGTTTTGTTCTGGTTATAAATAGATCTTCTATGTTTGTTTTCATCTTTCCCTTGATTCCATCTTATCTTCAATCTTGTTTCTTAGTATATGCTGATTACTATTCTTATATCGTGCAAATCAAATAATAACATTTCATTGCTTTTTTTTCTTCGGTCCAAAACCCACATGCTTTTACTTTTAATCTCATCCTCCTTTACTACAATAGGGTTTTGTTTACTGGGGCAACGAGTTAATGCAAGGTCTAGCAGCTTGCACAATTTGCTTGAATTTGGAATGTTACAGAACTTGCATACTGTTAACCGGTTGCCCCAGGTCCTCTATTCGGCAAAGGCTCCATGGTCCACCCGACTATTTGTGGAAAATTATTTAATTCCGAACTCATATATTTCATGGTTTTTTTTTTTGCACCCTTTTGCGTTCCTTATATTCATAAAGTCTTGACTCTTGTGGTTATAGGTTGCTCTCAATCAAGTGACATTTTACTGTTGATTTGATCGTCTGTATGGATTTTTGTGGGTTCAAATATTGAAACTGGGTTTGCCACCTTAACTATTTCCTCACATTTGTGCATCTTGTACACATTGTAATCCTGCATTGTCATCGGTTGCTAAACTTCACAAATTTGAAGCGATAAGATTAAAGCTAGAAGTGCAGAGGTCATGCATTTAGAAACATACAGTTATATCTACCACATTAAAATTTGATTACAATTTTGGCTATAATTAGCTAAAGAGAAATCAGTCACTGCTACATTGTTCGTTCTGTGATTCAGTACTGAAACTGGCCTGATTCAAGTCGAACCATACCTGCCGGAATACCTTGACAATGAGATCATGGTATTCATCAGAATTCAGGGTCAGATAACAAGCTAAGAGCTCTTCCAGATCCTCTGGCTGGGTTATCTTTTTCTCCACAATCATCTCAACCATGGAATCTCTGAAGTCCTGTGGTGGATCAAATGAGCACTTTACCACTGCAAAGCTATTCAAGCCTGTTCTTACCTGCTGCACTGCTCCCTCCTTAGCCACCCTTTTCATCTTCATTTTTGCTTTCGTCATGTTTTCAAGAGCTTTAATTTTACAGATTTCAACCCTTGAAGCTGTTCTTGGAGAACAAACTCTGACTTTGCTACTCCGTTTTGTTCTTCTCCTCTGTAATTCCCTGCTTATGTAGAGAGATTTCCTATGTTTCTCACTCTTTGACTTCACCTCTTGTATTTTCCTTTCTTTCAATTTTTGCCAATCTGAAGTCTGTTTTTCTTCAGAAGGCTCTTCAGTCTCCAAGTTCAAAGCTTCTTCTTGAATTGTTTTTAGACTTGAATTTCTTGAATTCAGTGAAGATACATAGTGATGTTTTCTTGCATCAGTCTCAGTTGCCCAAAATTTTCTTGACGCTAACATTTCCACCTCATCACTTTCTACTGTTTCTGTTGATGTCTCTTCTGCTTTATCTGCGTCTCTTTCTAATTTCAACAACTTCTTCTTTCCCTCAAGTTCTCTGTTTTCCTTCCTCAATTTCCACTCTTTAGCATTCCCACTTTTCTGCATGCCCTTCAACTTCTGAGACAAATCTCTTCCCTTCACTATTCTATCACTTGTTTGACAGCTTCCACAACTGGAGGGCTGAACTTCAAACTCATCATCTGAATCAAACCAAACCGATCTCAAAACCCCTCTGTTTTTCTTCCCTTCAGCACTATCTTCACCAAAAGATAGTCTCCAAAATGCATCATCATCATCATCAACTACACCATAGAATCTTCCACCGCCCTTAGCAGCAGCATACCTTGGTGAACCCAAAGATGGAGAATTCGGCTTCCCTTTTCTATTTACTTTACTGGGTTTCGGTTCTGAATTGCCCCTCTTCTGCTTGAACTTTGAAAGCCATGAAGTGGGAAAGACATGAGAGATCAAGAAAGGCTGAGAAGAAGAAGAAGATGAAGAGGAAATAGGTGGAGGCCTTTTCTTTTTGCTACCCCACTTCATAATATGACACTGACTATCTGAAATTCCCTTGTGTTGGGATGAGGAGAATTGTTCAAGAATTTTGGACTGCTTTCAATTGCAGAGGAGGAAATGACTTGGAACTGAAAGGAAGATGGATAATGAATGGTGAAGTGAGATTCTAGCAGCAGCAACAGCAGAAGCTAGAGGGGCAGTTAGGCTGTTAATAGGAACGTGGGTCGTCTTACTGGTTTTGTGTTGTGTTTTTCAAAAGAAAGGCCCGCCCTAAATCTTGTGACCACTCACGCACTTTTTCCTACTTTTTTGCCTTCTAATTGGAAAAGCTATGTGCCCCATCATTATAGGACCTCTATTACATAGTAGCCCCACAAATTCGAGTAGCTTCGCATTAATAAAAACTGCACCCTCTTCAATCTTCTGTTCTTTTGTACAGAACAACCCAATTCATTAATTGAGACTATGTAGAATGTGTGTACAAGGATAGGATGTCTAGGAGTAGCTCACTTTCGTGTCATTGTCTGAGTTTTGAAACACCTACTAGGCTTGAAGATGGAGGCAAGCTGCAAATAACCGATTAGTGTAGTGGTTTGGAACAAATGTTATTCTTAGGAGATTCTGAGTTCGAGTCCTAAAATCCATGTAGTGTATAAGTTTAATATGTTATCACCCCTCTCAATAAAAAAGTACCCCAAAATAAAAAGATGGGATGCAAGCTTCTTCAATTACATAATGGAATGGTCCTTACGATTATATTTTCAAGTTTTTATGTGTTTTGCTTTGTTTGGAGCACGGATAACAAAGACGTCTCGGGTATATGGTCATATACACTGTTTAGATATAAAATCTGTGTGAGCCCTTTTGCCTTTTCTGCTTTGTCTTTGGTCCTGAATTTTGTGTCTTTCTACTTTGGTCAAAAAGACTAGGATAGTGGGCCAGTGTAGTTGAATGTAAAAGAGCTGTGAATTAATTGGGTTGGGCTGATCAGAAAGTTGGGGCTTTAGAAATTTTCTGCAGAGGCCCAATTTAGAATGCAAATGAATTAATTAAGCTAATACAACAAGGATATAGACAGCTTAATTGTAAATTTAGGGGTTTGAAGAAGAATAATTGTTGTATAAGATTAAGGCAGAAAATTAAGTTGCAGAGGAGGTGAGATTAAGGCACGACCGGAGGTTGATGGAAGTAATCAAGGGTTGATAGAGAGTTGATGAAAATATTTAAAGGAAATTAACATCAATTACCAGATAATTTTTTAGAGCACATAGTTATATCATAATTAGCATGAATTTGGTTCCTTTTATTTTTATTTTAGAAATTATGGGATTGCATTCATAATTCAGCTAAAAAAGTCATTAGTCACAAATGACCAATACAAGCTATTCACAAAACGCCATTACAATGACGGAATGATCTAACATCAAAATTAGGACAATCTGGGGCATCTCCGCTAACGATCACGCATGATCGAAGCAACTCTAACATAGACATGCCAACTAAGATTGCAAACTCATAACAACCAAAAAGAGATAAAGCTTGAAAAAACCAAGCCATAAAAATACAAATAAAACTCTCACAAAAGCATGAATGGTTCCTTTTAAATGTATGTCTCATGAAAAATGGATTTTTGACAGAAGGGTTCTACAGGTTTTTTAGAAACTTAAACGTTGCCATTATTAGTCGTTTTGAATTTAGATTAATGATTAAGTCATATCCAAAGGCTTGCGTGTGAATGAAGGCATCAGAGGAGAAAGGGTCAAAGTCATCCAAATCAAAGGTATGGGGTGTAAAGGGGACATAGCCTCCTAACTGGATGGTGCTCTTCCTTCAGCTCCTGTAAATCTTGCTCATGAAGGAACTAGTTTTGGTCATATGTGCACCAACCTTGATAGGTCATTACAACTTGGTCCAATGCAATCCAGGTTTGAGGTTGTCCTGTCCTGTCTGTTGCTGGACTGGACCCAGACAGACTCAACTCAAGAATTGCCTGTCATTGCAAAACAAACATTACACACACAGTTTATGAAGTTGGTTTCTTTCCCTTGACCAATTTTCAAGCAAAAACCAACCTTTAGTTTGTTTTGTTACTTCTTCAAATGATAATTTCTGCGTCTGCATTCTTTGGAAGACGGTTGTTTTCTTTTCCCTTCTCAAAAATTATACGATAGTACAGATATACCACGTCAGCTTATAGTACTCCCACTTAAATATTGCCATGTATTCATTTTTAAAATTAAATAATTTACTTTTTTACAGCTGGGCTTCTCAGTTTTTATATTTTGAAATAGAATTATAAAAATAAAAGACTTGATTGAAAAAAATAAAAAAAGGGTATTGCCCCAACAGCAGCACCACCCCAACCCGATGAACCTAATCTCTAGTACCTGCCATGACCGCCGTCCCTCTCCCTTCCTCTTTCTCTTTATCCCTTATACTAATTTCACGCAGTGGGGTTGGGTTTAGAGGGAGGATGATTAAACTGGTTTTGATGATAATAGTTGGGAAGTAGTCTTGATAATTAAAAATAGTTCATGCTTGGGTAATCAGGATCGGCCAGTGGCAATCTAAGAAAGGTCTAGGTCTGAGAGAAATAAGAGAAAGGTGTAGGGGCACTATGGAAGATAACGATATTGTTTGAAAGAGGAAGAGAGAAGGGGAAGAAGAGAGAGAGGAGTGGCGGCTATGGTACTTTTTAATTTATTTTTATTTTTCTAATTCTATATAAAATATGAAAATTAAGTAAAAGTCCAGCTGTGAAAAAGCAAATCATTTTTTTTTCAAATTGGACAAGTGACAATATTTGAGTGGAAGTATCACAAGATGACGTGGTATAACCGTACTATTGTATAATTTCTCCTGTTTCTGGTGTCGTGGGAAAAGGAAATTAGGAGAGTGGTTTTGTTTGCGAGGAAAAATCGGTTTGTCCGTTTCTTTTTTCTGGTGGGAAAGTCAGTTCAAGGAATTAATTGCCAATTTGACCCAATATGAAAGGGAATGTGCACCAAACTCACTAATAATAATCCATGAGGGATGCTGTGGTCTGTTTGTAATTTAACAGATAAAAATAAAAATTGATGATATGA